TGTTTGCTAATGTTTCATTGAGAATTTTGCATCATTGTTCACTGAAGAGATTGACTTCTTTTTTTTTTTTTTTGACATCAGTTATTTTATTTTAAAGAAAAAAAAATAAAAACAATGGTACAAAATCTCAAAACAAGATTTTAGGAGAGTAACAATTGTTAGAACATTGTGTATTGTTACTGCCAAAGTAGTTTCTCATATTACAAGATATAGGCAAAAAATAATAAATAAACAACGTAGATACAAATCTAAGAGATTGACTTCTAATGCTCTTTTTTGGCTGGATGCTAGTCTCTTTAGAATCAGAGTAATGGTAGCTTCCATGAATGAATTTGAAAGTAATTTTTCCCTTTCAATTTCATTGAGGAGTTTAATGAATATTGGCTTTAGATCTTTCTTGACATTCTTGCAGAATGCAGCAGTAAAGGTACCATATTTTATGGTTTATATTGTTGGTAAATTTTTCTTTTTGTTACTATTTCCATTTCATTTCTGGTAATTGTATTATCCAAGTTTCTTATATCTTCTTTTTTCAATTTTAGTAATTCATGTTTCTAAGAATCTATTTGTTCTGAGTTCTGCTATTTATCAGAGTACAAGTTTTCAAAGTAATTAGTAATGATTTTGTGAATTTCAGTAGTGTCTATTGTGATTTCACATTTTTCATTTCTAATTGCACTGATTTGAGCTTTCCTTTTTTTGAAAAGTTTGGCTAAGGTTTTTTGATTTCGTTGATTCTTTCAAAGAACTAGCTCTCAAGTTCATCAATTCTTTGTAGTTTTTAGTTTCAGTTTCATCAGTTTCTGCTCTGAATTTTATAATTTCTTTCCTTGTGCTAGGTTTAAATTTAGATTGTTATTGCTTTTCTAGGATTTTTGAGGTACATTTTCATGGAATTTAACTGGACTCATACTTTTTTTTCTGATATGGGTATTCATAGCTATAAATTTCTCTTTTAAAACTCCTTTTATTGTGTCTCATAGGTTCTGGTAAGTTTATAGGCATTGCTGTTTGATTCCATGAACTGTATGATTTATTCCCTGATTTCTGCTGTGACCTGTTGATTATTGAAGAGTTTATTGTTTAGTTTCAGTGTGTTTGTATAATTTCTGTAGATTTTGCCATTGTTTTCCAGTTTCATTACATTATTATCTGATAATATGCATGGGATGATTTTAATTCTTTTCTGGTTACTTAAGCATGCTTTGTGGCCTTGAATATGATTTATTTTGGAGAAAGTTCAATGTACTGCTGAGCACAATGTGTATTTTGTTATTGTGTGGAATACTCTTTAAGCAGCTGTTAAATCTACTTGTTTAAATATTTGATATACTGATATTTCTTTATTGACTTTTTAATCTAATTGATTTATCAACTTGTGACAGTGGGTTTCTGAGTTTCCATAATATAATTGATATGATGTTCATCTGATATTTTATGCCTAGTAGTATTTGTTTTATGTAACTGAGTGTGCTGGTGTTTGCTGCATGTTTACAATTGTCCTCTTTTTTCTTTTGCATTGTTCCCTTAACTAATATATAGTTTCCTTCTTCACATGATCAGTTTTAGCTTAAAGCCTATTTTATATTAAAATAGGATAGCTATTCCTATTTCTTTTTTGATTGACATTTTATGGAATATTGTCTTCCATCTTTTGTTGTTTATGAATTTCTTTTTATATAAATATTTACTTGTATAAAACATACCACTGGATTTTGTTTCTTGACCCATTCTGCCATTCTGCATCTTCTGATTGGGGAATTGGATGCATTTCAATTGCAAGCTATTATTGAAATGGATTAGCTTATTACTCTAGTTTCATTCTTTTTCTTTTTTTTTTTTTTTTTCTAGATGATTTAAATGGGTTGTCTGATTTACTTGATTCCTGACACTAATTTTTTTCACATTAGGATGGATCTCATAATCAATAAAGTTAATATAGTATAGTGTTTTTACCTTGAAAACTTATCAATAACAGGTCACATTTTGATCACATTTTAGAATGTGAGAGGTCAGGTCCTTCTCTGCAGGGGAATTATAGTCCAGATGAGTGAAGATTTTAATCAGTTAAATTGTCAAACTAAAGACTTATAGTGAAAGACATTGAGAGACTGGCAGTTGTGGAGGAAGTTAATAAAACTTGAAAGCAAATGTGTTTTGTATTTCACAAAGCAGAAGGTGAGTTCATAGACTAAATGGGCAGGTACTGACCACAGGCAGTACTCCTGGACAAAGGGTAGCAAATTTTCTTCTGTAAAGGACAGAATGTAAGTATTTTGGCTTTATGGGCTATCTGGTCTCTCACAGCTATTCATTTCTGATATTGTAGCATGAAAGTGACCATTGACAATATATAAACAAATAAGCAGGGTTGTGTTCCAGGAAAACCTTATATACTGAGGTGTCATCAGACCAGGTATGGCCAAAAGGTGATAGTTTGGCTGTCCCTGCTGTAGAATAAATCGTTAAGTGATCATCTTTGTGAGTGTTTAGGGAACATTGGAAACTAGGAACCATTCTGTGTTCTTTGAGGGTAGGTCTGACTAGGACAGTTCTTCTCCATTATGTTTTAGCAGCGCTATTGTTATACAAGATCAAAAGTATAGTTTATTTTTACATCATAGAGGTGTTCTATAGAGTTTTTCAAAAGGAATTTTTTTATAGAAGGTGGAAAAATGTGGACCATCGCAGTTAACTGTTTGGTTCCCGCTGTATTTTAACTGATATAAGCTCACAATATAAGGGACACCAAATAGCTAATGAGTGCCAACAGAAGAGTTTAATAGTATTATTTCTTAAAAATATTTTATATTAGCTTTTGATATAAAAGACCTTTTAACATAGTATAGTAAATTCCTCACTTACATGAAATACTATATATTAAAGTCACACAATATTTCCCGAAGAATGCTGTAATTTCCTACTGCTCCATCCCTGAAAAAAGTTTAAGAAGTATAGGTAGCAAGCTATCCAGTACTGTTCTTTCCTTGATACTTAAATGTTTTTAGTCAATTTGATCATAAATGGCAAATTAAATTTTGATAACTCAGACTGTTTCTTCATACCAAGCTCCTAATAACTAACAAGCATATGATTAAAAGGTTCATAAATTGAAGATCATCTCTTGTAGACTCCATATTTAAAGCTTTATAGACAACACGTAAAGAGCCCTATTCAGTTTTCCAGAAATTACAACATTTTTGCCTACAGAAGTGATTTGTGTCAACACTAAACCAAAAATTCTAGAGACCAAAGTTTTAGTCACAAAGGCACTTCTCTTCCTAAGATTACATTTCTCAGAGAACAGCAGTGCTAGTCTAGAATGTCATGAAAAAAAGTCTATTACTAGTGGTTCAATGAATACAAGGGCCAATAAAGCAGGTCTCAGTATTAGAAGAGGCAGAAAACCCAACTAAGTATACCCTAAATGAAGGAGGGAGAAGGGGACGATTACTAGCAGTTTATATAGCTTTTGTACCTGAGAAGTCCAGAAAGTGGGCTAGTTAGTTCTTCAGCTTTCTTGGGGATGCAAATACTGTCACCAAGTTCAAGTACCTAGTTTCTCTTGGCTTGTCTTCTGTGTGTTGGCTTTAGCCTTGGTTTCATACTACCTTCAGAAATGTTATGTTTTTAAAATAGCTATGCCCAGGAGGTAGGAGGATTACTGCAAGTTGGAGGCCAAACTGGGTTACATAGTGAACTCCAGGCCATCCTGAGCTACGCAGCAGGACCCTGTCTCAAAAATTAAAAAAAAAAAAAAGCTGTACTCACTAAAGCTCTTTCTTGGGGGAAATACTTTCATTGGCTCTGATTGGTTATGTACCAATACCTGAACCAATTATCATGGCCAAGTGGGTAAAGCATGTTGATTAGCTCACATCAATGAAGATTCACCCCCAGAGCTAAAATCAGTGTCATCCCCAAGCTAATTGGGAAGAGTTACTTTATAAAGGAGATTTGGAATCATGTTTCTAGGAAGAAAGAGGTATAAAATGCCATGCAATGAATGACAATAAGACATGAGAAAAAGCAACCAAAAGAAGCCACTAAGGATTTAGTGGGTGTTTCAGATACTGCAGGCCAGCAATACAATGTCCACATTATCTCCACTTTACATGTATTAGTGATATTCATAATCATGAACCTAAGACATTTAAGAAATACTAACTTGCTTGATTTCCTAAGACAGAGAAGAAGTTAATGAGATTGGGAAGATTTGTGTGTGTTAACAGTATTTTGTTTTTAGGGGCCGGGGAGATGGCTCAATGAAATAAGCGCTTCCCTGGCAAGTGCAAGGGTCTGAGTTCAATTCCCGGTTCTGAAAAAAAATAAAAAGAAAAAGAAAAAAAAACAACAGTATTTTGTTTTTATTAGTATATAGCTATAATGCATAATTGCATTCATCTTGGGGAATTGGTACATATAAATAAAGCATCAGTTTTTATTTCCCCTTACCCTCCCGTCTTTCCCCATCCCTAGAGCCTCTTCCCTTCTCCACAAAGATTCTCTTCTATTTTCTTTTATTTTGCTCTTTGAATTAAGTATATCTTGGATTTCTCATGTAAGAGAAACCTTGTGATATTTAACCTTTTATGTCTTAATTTATTTCATTTAGCTTTATGGTCTCAAGAGTCATCCACTTTCCTATAAATTACTCAGATTTATCTTTCTCATTGGCTGGGTAGTTCTCCACTGCATGTATATACTCTGCATTTTCTTTATTAATCTGTTGATGGGTCTAGGGGCTGCTCCCAGGATCTAGCTGTTATGAATTGTGCTGCTATAAGTATGGGTGTGCATGTGTCACTGTCATATGATGCCTTTAATACTTTCAGGATAGTAAAAAATTTATTTTTCTTTGTCTTTAGTATCTATTTGGACCTTATTAAAGTCATGAGTTTGACCTTAAAATATTCACAGAATCGATGTTTTAATTATGCATGGTTTACGTCTTTAAAAGTTAGTTTACTGATAAAAAGGCTACTTTCGCTTTTGTCTAGAATGCATACACAGCCACAGCTATCAACAGCACCAACTTCTGCACCTCAGCAAAGGACGCCTTTGTCATTCTGGTGGAGAATGCGTTGCGAGTAGCTGCCATCAACACAGTGGGAGACTTCATGTTATTCCTAGGCAAGGTGAGACCACAAGTGCTGTCTGAGACGAGTACACTCTGTAAGTTGTGCCCTTCAGTTTTAAACATGTGTAAGTCACCAAAAAAGTAAAAGTAATTTTACGTATAGCAAACATTTGCAAAGCTTTTCATAATGGTCGGATATTTTTCTGTATTCTTTCCATATATTATGTTTATTTAATCCCTCAAAAAAGAAATTTATATCATAAGGTAAATTCTGTTATTCTCCAAGAAAATAAGAAAACTGAGGCACACGAGATGGAGTAATTTGTCCATTTTCTCCTTACATACTTTTTTCTTTACATATTTTCAACTGTAAACATTTAGATAAAGTCTGTGTAGTGACTAGGGGTAGTACTACATCTGGAGCCTCATTTCTTGGCTTCCTCATGTAAATCCTGGCTCTATTACTTACTAGTAAGCTGTGAAACCTGAGACAGATTACAGAATCTCTTTGTGCCTCCATTTGTTCTTTTGTAAAATTAGAATACTAATACAGCCAAACCCCAAGATGCTGTGACAGACTGGTTACTAGTCTATAGGATAGTACATACCATAATATGTTTTAATGAATGTTAGTTGCTGTTGATTTTTTATGCGGCGGGGGAAGGGGGGTGGCGCTCAGGATACCTTCAGGGCCGGTCTGGTTTGGCTTGAGAATGGAGGGATCGAACCACAGCATCCTGAGCCTGACTGCTTTGTTTCAGCAGGCACTTAAACACCTGACCTAATGGGCAGGTCCCCTGCTATTGATTTTAAATCCTTTTAAAATAGAGCTGGGCTGAGATGCTGCTCATTGGTCTACCATTGATAAAGCCCTGGGCTCAATCCCTAGCCCTACAGAAATATCTAAATAAAATGAAATAAAATAGAGCTGTTAGGGAATAATACTTCTATGTCCACAGAAGTTTCTGAGACTATTATTCTATACTATTAAAATCTACAAAATAATAAGTAGCATTATAATTTGACTATACCTTCATTTCATACCATAAAGTACTCAGAAAATAAGAAAACTGATAAGCAGAGAGCAAGATGTAGCACCACCACTTCAACCTACGTTTATTACGTTCCTTTATGGTGTTATTTCACGGGCTTGTGTTTCTGTAGTATAACAACCATATGATGTGTTTGCTGTGTAGACGGGGCTGACCGCACACGCAATCCTCCTGCCTTCACTTCCGAAGTGTCGGGATTACAGCTTATACCCCCATGCCTGGTTTAAACTGTTTCTTATTACCAAGTTTATAGTATGATAAAGAAATGTGTATATTTAGTAAATGAAAAAGCTGAGTAAAACTACTAAACTATCACAATACTATTTAAAAATGTACACATAAGGACTGAGATGTAGCTCAATGGCAGAGCATCTCCTTAGCATGTATTCAATGCCTAGCACCACCACAAAGTTAATTAACTAAAATGTGCCAAAGAAAATAATGAAAACTGGTATCTTAAAATGTTAATAATGACTGCCTTTCACTATTCAAAGTATGGATGGTTCCAAGCCCACTCCCTACTTTATCATTATAAGATAATGTTCTCTATATTGAGAATGTTTTCTTTTTATAATGAAAAATGTACAGATGATAAAATGCAATTTTTTTAATTGACTTGAATTTTTCAGCAGTCTAGTCACCTGTCAATTTTTTCCCTTACATTTATCGCATTCTTTTATTCATTCAACAGATATTTTTGAAGTATTTAATAATAATGTGCCATTATACACTAGTCCACAAATAAAATTTAAAGCCAATGGAAAAGGCAACTTTATAGCCCTCTTCTCACTTGGTATTATGTTAATGAGTATTTCCAGTTTTGCTAAAAATTTTGTAAACATGTGTTTACATTTATTATATCATTCAATCAGTCACCTGGTTTGTTTTATTTTTATAGTTGATCTTTTCTAATGTTTTTAATATTCTGAGGTATACTGCTATATACCTGCTCAACTTTCTTGGATAAATCCTTATTCATATTAACCATGGCTTACTTCAGTCCTAGAATCCTAAAAATGCAATTAGTGTCCTTGATATATATTGTCAAATTGTTTCTCAAAAGATGTATTTTTAATAACAATACTCCCCTAAAGAGGGGAGGGAAAGGAAAGGAAGGAGAAAAAAAATTAAGATGTGTTATGTGCATGTGCCAATTCTCTACCATGAATGCAATAATTACGTACTGTGTACATGTACTAGTAATTTTTTAAAGTAATAATATTACTAAAAGTCACTGTAAAACTATAAAAGATAATTTTTAGGGGAACTAATTTATTTATTTATTTTTAATAATTGAGAGCAATGAGACAGTTTCAAAACCAATCAGTAGGACAGTTTCAATAATAATAAATGCCTTATATTGTTGTCTCAGTGGTTATTCATTGTATAAGATGCAGATATGGCATCCTGTCTACAAACACTATTTGAATAAATCTTATTCATTGAATTAAGAAAATGTAGCTGTATATCTATCCTAACTTGAATATACCAATACAAAATGGTCATTTATTTGGATCCCCTTTTTTGTTTAGTTTTGTCAGAGAAAGGTATTCCATTGTCACTTAAATATTGTAGGTGTGTGGATTCAGCAAAATATTCCAATATAGTCCAGTAGTCCATAATAGTAGTGGGTCATCCGCAGGACTGGCAGTGTCAGAAGTTGTTGACCTGAGCCCTTTATAGCCCAACATGGCTTCACCCCTTATACCTCGTTTATAAAAGATAATTTTAAAAATAAGAAACTCAAAAGGAGATTAAAGGAAAATAATATGTTCTAGGTTTCTAACATTGAAGATTCCCTTTCTTGGAAATATAGTTCTGATCATAAACCAGTAAATCTTTTGAAGGGAGTTTCTTTTATTACAGTTGAATAGCTGCTAATGTGCAGAAGTAGTTTGTGTGTTGGTAGTCATGGGAAACATAAAAGACAACATCAGGACCTGTTGATGCAGGCAGCAGTCTGAGTGAATCTTGAAGGAATTATGCTGATTGAGAAAAACACATTCTCAGAAGATTAATACTGTATGATTTCATTTGTATAAAATTTTTGAAAAATAACATGGAAACAGATTTGTGGTTGCTCATTTAGTGATGGAGGTGGGAGTAAGTGGAGATAACTATAAAAAGTCAAAGTGAAAGATCCTTATAAAGATCCTTGAGCCTTGATTTGTCAGCAGCAATATCCTTTTTGTGATGTTGTACTATAGTTTTACAGGATGTTACCATTGAAAGGAACTGAGTAAGGGATACCTACAACTACTATTTTCTTACACTACATGTGAGTTTGTAATTGCCTCAGACTTTAAAATTAAGTTATGAAAGCCTTGAAACTCAAAAAAAGAAAAAGAAAACAAAAACAGATAATTTCGTAAGTTTAATTTATGTGGAGCCACAGTAGTTTTTAATGAATGATGAATTTGATTTGGAAGGGACCATAGCTCCTCTAGTTTATTAATCTCTGACCTGTAATCACAGATATATAGGGTCCTAAAGAATAAGAATAGAGACTTACAATCTTCAAGAGTTTTTAAGTCCAAAAGTTACTGATATTTACCCTAATAAAGCAGTCTTGCCCAAAGACCTAAATCTCAGTTTCTTCTGTATGACTGTTAGTGGAGTTTGGGGTACCAGAGTCTCCTCTAGAGATGGTTTTCTAAGTTCTTTCTAAACAAAGAATTGGTTGAGACAAGTATAAATGGTAGCAATGTTTTACATTTATTTAAGGTAGGAAAATAAAAGGCTCTGTACAGTGAATTTGGGCCAAGTGAAAGTAGGAAAAGAGGTACACCCAACAGAATGAGGGGAATGGTTGTGAAAGAATAGAGTAGTGGGAGCTGGGATATAGCTCATCAGCACAGTGCCTGCCAGGCAAGTGCTGCAAGGTCCATTCCCAGTACAAAAAAAAAATAGAACACAGTAGTGGAGAGCTCACTGGGGACTGTGCTTTTTGTTTGTGCCACCCCTGAAGTTGACGTCAGGTCTTGGCCATCCTGTTGGAAACCTGCTGGAATTCTTGTGAGAAGTCTGTGCACAGAGCTTTGGAACTGTTCAGCGCATGTGTCCTGGAACTTTGTAGTTAACAGATTAGCCTGATTTCCCAGGTAGTTTTTTGTTGTTGTTTGGTTTTTTTTTTTTTTTTTTTTTTGAATTTAGGACAGGGTGTACAGGGTCTCTCTACATAGATTGGACTAGTAGTGATTTTCCTGTTTTCAGCCTCCCAAGCGCTGGGATTACAGGCGCACGCCACCACGCCCAGTCTCAATTACCATCTCAGTGTTCCCCGGGGGACAGGTCCGGCACAACATGGGGATCAAACCCCAGTTGCTGTGCTCGGCCAAAGCAGGCGCTTTAGTCCACTGAGCTATCTGGCTGACCCATTCCCAGGTAGTCTTAGCCATACCCTGGCTGCTTGCATCAAAGCTACAGACACTACTTGCTTGATGGCCCACCTCTTTAACCACTATTCGAACTTAACACTGAGGCACATTGTGCAGACTGACAAATTGCTGCTTGGATTTCTGACCCAATTTGTTGTTGAACAGTTCTGTACATCTTGTTTAGAGAACCTCAGTGTCTTTTTTTGTGTATGTATGTACAGTATACCCTGTAAATGTGCTAAATTCTTGCTGAATATACTGTATGGTGCAGTACTGTAGTTTTATGTTGTTATGTATTACAGTACTGCATGTAGCAGTTATGCAAATAAAAGCAAAGTTATCAAGTTGGAGTTTCCTTTGACCATTTCTTTGTTCTGAATATTGTAATGTACATAGTTTATGCAGTTCCTCATTTAGTGACCAATTTGTGTAACAGCCCACTCCTCAGAACTTGGTCATTAAATGAGTGTATTTTTCCTCTGTTTGCCATTAACTTTTCTCACAATAATTATCTTTCCTAATAATATTTGACTTAGACTAATAAAGTTAGAATATGAATTATTGCCCATAAGTAATGTTTTAGTGGTAAGCAAAATCATTCAAAATACAGAACCCACAGGAAAGTCAAGTCATTAATGGAGGACTTAAAAGTGGGGGAGGGGGGGAAGGAAAGGTAAACTATTGCCCAGCATTAAATTCAGTGTTTCAAAATCTTGATTTCAATCATCAGTTGCATTATTATGTCTCATTTAATGATGGAAAAACAGGCTCAGAAAGCAATTAATTTGCTTAGAGTCACAAATTAAGTATTAACTCTACAAGCCAGGTGTGGTGCACACTTGTAATCCCAGGACTTGAGAGGCTGAGACAAGAGGATCACCATGAGTTCAAGACCAGCCTAAACTATGTAGCAAGACCCTTTCTCAAAAAAAAAAAAAAAGAGGAGGAGAAGGAGGAGGAAGAGGAGGGGGAAGAGGAAGAGGAAGAAGAAAAGAAAGACAGACAGACAATGGGCGGCATGACATGCAAGCCCTGCCCCCAGGAGGGCACGCGGAAATGGCAATTGAGACTGGGCGTGGTGGTGCGCACCTGTAATCCCAGTGCTTGGGAGGCTGAAAACAGGAGGATCACTACAAGCCCAATCTGTGTAGTGAGACCCTGTAATCCCTGTACTGAACAGATAAAAAAAAAACCCTAAATATTAACTATAATTCAAGTCTCCACCTTTGAGATTCCCAAATTAGCATCTTTTTTTCTTGCTTTTTACATCCTGCCCTGTTTGTATCTTTTCTACTGTATCTCCATTTATTCTCCAGAACAGAAGCATCTAAACTTTTAAAATCACACATTATTAGTATAAAGCTTGAGCTCAATTCCCCAATATATTTCTTTATGAATTACACACGCACACACACACACACACACACACACACACAGCTTTTACTAATCTGTGCATTATAAAACACACACCAGAAAAAGAAGTTTAAAAATGTATGCAAAATAGAAATGAAAGTCCCAGGTAGCCCTGTTGAGCAATGCCCAGGGCAGTGGTGGTGAACCTGTGGCATGCATGTGAGGGCAGGCACACAGGGTCTGTCAGCAGGTGAGTCAAGTCATGCCAGCAGCTAATCATTAGATAACAAGATTTTGTTGTTGTTGTTTTTTTCCTAACCTGAGTATTCAGGTTTAATTGCAGCATTGGCACTTTGCAATAAATAAGTGGGTTTGGGGTTGCAGTCTGTAAAAGATTTGCCATCTCTAGAGTATGTATATCCCATCATAGAGATTTTTTTTTAAATCTAAACCAGTATTTCTTGAGATGAAGACTGTGGACGGTTTTTAATACCTAAGAATACTTTTAAAATGTATGTTACTGGGCTTCATTTTAGAGCCAAACATCTGTTGAGAACCACAAGTGTTTGCCCTGCTAGAGTAAATGTATGACACCCTCTCATTACAATTGGGTGTAATTGTTATATTTCTTTGACCTTTTTTGGCCAAGCACTAGTTCTTGAAGTTGTTTCTCATATAATACAACATCCAGCTTTCCATCTCAACAATTTTTTTTATCTCAACATCCACTTTGTTTGGACTATACCTTGTTTCTGTAATTGAGTTTAATGTTTTAAGTCTGATTTAGTTTTTAGTCGCATGATGAGTACATACAGAACTCCAGCTCTACCATGGAATAGATGTATAAAATTTGAAGACAGTTACCAGAACCTTTTGTAAATTGAAACTACAAGAGTGAAAGAAAGTGGAGATCACTGTAGAAAATAAGCTGTTATAAAAGATGATTCATGAGTACTATAGTGCCACAAAAATGGTACAGGAAGCCTTCCAAAGCTTGGGGATACCCAATGTTGCTCCATCAAAGCATCTGGGAGAGAAATCAGTGTATAGTTGAACCAGTATATCGAGTGCAGTATAACTCATGGTTAAGATAATAGTTAATGAACTGCTATGATGGTGATAAATAGTGGGGGAGGATGCAGAATTCTGCTTGTCCTAGATGCTAAATTAAAAAAAAAAAGTGACTGTTATTCTAGAATACTCTTTCTTTTTTAATTTAAATCCTGTTCCTTGGTTTAGTAAAGGATGGAGGGATAGTGTACCTAGGATTCTGTGTAAACCGTTGTGTTCTGTGTCAGTGTACAAGTGTAGCTGGATTTTTACCTGGAAGGAGCATTGGAGTTGCCATCGTAAGACTGTTACTTAAGTGGAAGCTGTTTTCTTTAGTGTACCTTGCTAGGTTGGCTAGGACCTCTGAACATGTTTTCCAGTCTCTGAAATGGAGGTGATAACGTCTGTATAAATCGTTTATAAGGTTTTTGAAAAGCTAATGTAAAACAGCAGTTTTGCAATGAGGAAGGTGAGAAAATAGAGAAACAAGGAAGGAGGATTAAAAAAGGATTAAGATGTGTTACATACATGTGCCAGCTCCTCACAAAGAATGTCATTATAGTGTACTACAGATATTCACTGATAAAAAATTTAAGAACTGAGAAGCAATAAATTTTAAAGCCACTGCATATGAGATGATGAAGCATCACAGTTGATGGTCCTTAATAATTGTCTATTATTTTAATATAGATTTTTTTTGCCAACCCTTTCAGAAAGTTTAAATCTGTGAACTGTCACAGAAATTTTTAAAATTTTATTGCATAGGGCCGGGGAGATGGCTCAGTGGAATAAGTGCTTCTCTGGCAAGCGAAGGGCCTGAGTTCAATCCCCGCTTCTGGGGAAAAAAAAAAAAAAAAAAACTTATTGCATAATCTGTATGAAATAACAAATGAAACACAGGAAAAATTCTAAGAATAAAGATGTTCATTATTATAGGTATCTGAGAATACAAATCTCTGATAGTAGAATGGTTAAATTTTAGATCTCCCGTAAGATTAAATTATTTGCTGAATAAGTGTTTATGAAGCATTTATGATACTATATTAGTGAAGCACTTTTAATTATTTGTGCAGTGTTTTTCTAAGTGCTAAGAGCACATGTAAATTTTTGCTCAAATATGCATAAATTTACCTTAAAAATTACTACAAAGTCTAAATATGTGAGGTTTTCAGGCATGGTATAACATTGGAATATATGATTTTCTTCCATGTAAACTAGAATCATAAAGTATGATTTTCTAGGCTTATATTATATGACAGATGATACAACTGTGCACATGGGTACATTTTGATTATACTCAATTTGAAATTCAATGACTATTTATAGCTGTCATTTATAAATAGTGCAGAGTATTTCAAGTCTGCAGATGGTAGACTGTTAACCATGGTCTTTGCTCCCTCTGCGCTAGGTGCTGATCGTCTGCAGCACGGGCTTGGCTGGGATCATGCTGCTCAACTACCAGCAGGATTACACCGTGTGGGTGCTGCCTCTGATTATCGTCTGCCTCTTTGCTTTCCTGGTCGCTCACTGCTTCCTGTCCATTTACGAAATGGTAGTGGATGTATTATTCTTGTGTTTTGCCATTGATACAAAGTACAATGATGGGAGCCCTGGAAGAGAGTTCTATATGGATAAAGTGCTAATGGTAGGTACTTTAAATACCCTCTACTACCTGAAAAATAAAAATTCTAATAAAAGTATTTTGCTAAGCTTTCTTTATATTAAATTTTCCATCATGTGCAACAGTAACTCCAAATTAAGCCAGTAGCACTCACTCCTGAATGAAGTTAATTTCTGGGAAAGCAGGAAGAGGGTTCTTTTGGAACATGGAGCATTTCAGACCCACCCAGGTGGAGCAGTACTCATTAGTTGTCCCTAATACACAGTTCCACCCTGTTGCCCTTCTCTCTGCAGCTACACAAATTCTCATGCACTTCTAAGAATCCATTTGTAGGGGGTGTGTTCTGGGAATGGAACCAGGACTTCTGCATTTATTTTGAGACAGAGTTTTGCTTAAGTAGTTCAGATAGGTCTCGAAGTTGAGACCTCCTGCCTCAGCCTCCCAGAGTACTGGGGTGACAGGCATGCACCGCTATGTCCAGCTGGAGTGAGTTCCAAAAGTACTCTCTCACCCTTGAATTGGAGCATCAAGCCACTGACATTCTAAGCTCCTTTTCCTGAAATGATACTTAAAGACAAAAATTCTTCTTCTCAGATCTTAATGCCTACTTTCCTCTTCCACAACCTTTGCAAATGCTACTTCTGTCAACTATAAAATTCATTGTAAGTATGCTGTGCCAAATTGAAGGCATTTCCTACTGAGTGTACATAGCAGACGCATAACTGATAGATTGTTTTATGTTTTGGGTTTTTTTGTTTATACAGAAACATTTATTTTATCTTTATGCTCATCTGCATATCTAGATTTAAAGTTACAATTTTTAGTAGAAGCTGAATCATGCATATTCAGATGTTCATTATATTATTCTTCATGTTTTATGTTTTCATATTAGTCCATTAGTCTTTACGTAGATATTATTCGAGTTTATGGTTTTTGTGCTGTCCTATGTGAGAACCATAATTAAAATTTTTAAACAACTTTAAAACTACATTATACTTGTTTATTTGTTTACATCAAGGTTAAATGATACCAAATTAAAAGTGCTTTTTAATGAAATATTTTGTTACTAAGCAGTGAAATATCCACATATTGAGAATAGATAATATAGAAAACTAAATATACTTTGAGATAATACATCATTTTCTAGAAGTGTGATTTTTCAGTTAAATGTGAAATACGTATTAACGAATGAGCTAGATTTTTTTAATAGTAAGAATTCTAAATAATGTAGCCAATCTCTTTGGCATTGATTATCTCTTTGAAAGTTTGAGAGCATCATGAGCTATCTATTTTGGACATTTTCATAATTCTGAATTAATACTATCTGGTTTCATGATATTTGATTTGTGAGTGTAGCATCTTTCTGTGATTAAAATATTTGGAAGAAGAGTTTGTTTTTGTTTTTTAAGTCACTGATCAATAGCAGAGTAACAATAGTTATTCCATCTGTGAGAATGACAAGGATATTTATTAAAGTGTTTCTTAATCTTCAACAGAATAGAAATTTTCTATTATTTGGGCATATGTCCAGTTTAACTGCTGACCATAGGTTCCCTTTGACACTCCTGTCTTCCTGTTCTCTGTCAAGACCAGACAGACATTAAGAACGATAAAATAGGTTGTTGTTTGAGTTTAAAAAAAAAATTCATGCTTAGTAGTACTAAATTAATGCTTTTACTTTCAAGGTTTTTAAAGTAGAGGTGTAAAATAAAATGTTCTTTTTAAAATTAAATTTGATATGGGAGAATAAAATAGTATTTTAAGGATGGAGAAATAGTTTCTTAAAATATTAGACAATTTTATTGGGGAGATAGCTCAGTAGAATAAGCACTTGCCTGGCAAGCGCAAGGGCCTGAGTTCAATCCCAGGTTCCACCAAAAAATATAAAATATTAGACAATTTTTTCTTCTGGGAAAAATTAGCATTATCTCTGGGAGCCTTAGTGACATTGTCACAATCAATGGATGGACAGAAGATTTCACATTAGAGAACTACAGTCCATCCCACAAATGTAGCAGTTCCTATTGATGATACTCAATATTATTTACTATTATATTTTCAGTCAGTTCATATACGGAGATGGAGTCAGATGTAAATGTAAGCCCGGCCTGCTGGCTCACATCTATAATTCCAGCACTTTGGGTAGTTGAGGCAAGAGGACTTCAGATTCTTTAAGCCCAGCCTGGGCAACTGAGCAAGTTAGTGAGATGTGTGTCAAAAAAATTTTTTTCAAAATTTTAAAATGAACTAAAAAAGGGTTGGGAATGTAGCTCTGTGTGAAGGCCCTGGGTTCATTCCCCAGTACCTTCGAATGAATAATGAGTGAACATTCCTTAGAATTCATCTGCCAGCTGAAATCTGAAAAGACCTAGGAATTTATGCTTTGTGGTTCAATTCATATTTTGCAGGAATTTGTGGAAAACAGTAGGAAAGCAATGAAAGAAGCTGGTAAGGGAGGCGTTGCTGATGCCAGAGAGCTAAAGCCGATGGTAGGTGGAGATGAGGAGGCAGCCAGCCTCCAAGAATTTCACTTTCACTTCCTCTCTCTCTCTGTTTTCACCGACTACACTTCTTCTGGAGACGCTTTTGTTGTCTGTATCACTCAGGACATGCTGCTCTTTCTGTTTGTGTGCTTACCCATCACTTGGATGGCAGAGTTCTTGTCACAGCTGAGACCACCTTCTGTAAAAGTAAGCTGAAAGGAACAACATTTTCACTGGGGTGTAGGGAATTAGGGAGTTATAGTTCCATCTCTATGGTGAAATTGCTGTTCCCCATTTTTTTTATCTGTCAGTGTTTAGTTTTTATCTGACTCAATATTTGATGTTTATCATTTTGGAAGGTGAAATAGCAATTCCTTTCAACTTGCTAATGTTTGTATTCTTCCTTTTTTTAAAATATTGTTCTGTTTACATTGCTATCTTTTCAACCTTTGGTGACTTTTCTTCTGTTGCCTAAATTGTACTTTATTTCATCAGCTATTTCTCTGTGGCAGTCACAGGGTTTTTTCAATCAACACCCACACTCCATCTCTGTGAGACCACCTAGTCTATTCTCAGCTTGCTTGTGAACAGGAAAATTTCCCTTGTCAATTATTCATTTAATATTAATTTAATGTTAATTTAGTCAACTTTCATTTAAAAAAAAATCAGATCAGTTTAAGAGAATCCTGGGTTGTTTTCCTCTAGATATTTTCATTGCAACATAACAGATGTGTATAGCATATATTGATTTAATTAAGACTTCAGTGGCAGTGCTGCCAGCTTATGGGACTTGGAGAAATGAGGACGTTCTCGTAATGCTTGGCTGTCCTCGTTGTTGAGGAAATAGAGATCCCAAACCTAACATTTAAGAGGACATGCTGTACATAAAATCTTAAAATATAAACTTGCCTTTCCCACCTTTTCTGTCTTTCCATTGATTGAAACTTCCACTGAATCATTCTTTAGTAATAAACATTTAAAGGGGGGAAAAGTTAAAACCTTGCTAACTTGGCCATACACTGGCATGTGTTTCTATATTATTCTTTAGTAAATGGTATACAAGTTGTGGTAGACCAGAATACAAGCATTTCTTCCTTAGCTACACCCTAATTTATCTGAACTATAATCATAGAAAATTATCCCAGTCATATGGAATTGTACTGGAAGCCAAACATTTTAGGAAGTTTTTCTAATGGTATTTTCGGTTTTAATGCATTACAATCTTCATTCAACTTTTGCTTCTGTCTTATGTTTACCAATTCATTGCTTATTGGAAAGAATTGTTTGCTATATGCCAAAATACATTTTTCATGTGCACAGTTCTACTGCTTTAGACATTAAACCATTCTGTCCCTAAGAATACCTTAAGTGGTTGAAAATTCCCCAGAAGAGAGGTGTAAAGTCTCATTTAAATGAGAGCTTTATTTATTTTTTTCTATTTTTTTAAATTGAGAGACAAATAGCAATGAGACAGTTCCAAAACTAATTAATAGGACAGTTTCAGTAATTAATACATTATACATTGTTATCTTCCTAGTGGTTATCCGTAGTACAAGATGCAGACAGAACATCCTTTCCAAACACTGTTAGTACAAATCTTTCTTCTCATTTAATTAAGCGAAAGTAGCTGTATATCTATCCTAACTGTTCTGCATATACAGATACAAAATGGTCCTTTATATCCCCTTTTTTTGTTTAGTCCTGTCAGAGATGGGTATTCCATTGGCATCTAAATACTATAGGTGCGTGAATTCAGCAAAACAATCCAACACAGTCCAGCAGTCCATAATAGGAGTGGGTTATCCACAGAAGTTGTTGACTTGAGCCTTTCACAGCTCAGCATATTAGTATGGCTTTACTTTATATAGCACATTTTTATACCTTTCTGCTGGATGGTTAAGACCAAGATAAAGCAAGACCTATATAACAAGAAATGTAACTTCTGTATCTGATAACATCAGTTAAGTCCCCTCAAGATTTATCCTGTAACCCTGTACCACAGTTTGCAGATCCTTTGTGAGTATCAGCCATGTGGATGAGTCACGGCCATTGCTTGACCAATTTAAGAGCTTTATTTTTTAAGCACTCAGTACCTTACCTTCCTCCTCCTTTCATAGTATGCATGATCAGAATTGGCCCCTGCTGTCACTCACCATCCTCTGTGTCAGAAAATTATCTGAAGAATTTCCCTGAAGTTTGGGAATTAGTCAAATTTAGAATTGTTTATTTGTATTTGCATGTGTTATTCTGTTAGGTAGAAGTGCTGTAACAGAGCACCATGCCTGTCTTGCAATATGTCCAGAAACACTGCTGCTGTCTGTCTTCTTTAATACAATATTTTAATTTAGGATTTATTTTTAGCCTATAAAATAATTCTCAGGCAAACGAGGCTTAAATTTTTTCCTTTTGATAAGGGATCATTGAACTAATACGACTGTAAGCTTTCTTCTTTTACTTTTTCTTAGAGAATCTTACAAGTAAAGGAAACTATAAAGATTAATGAGGTCTTTCTGTTTTTTGGAAACAGAAAGACCTTTTTTGGAAACAGCTTTTCAAAAATTTGCCAAATGTAGTATTGATGCTCAGGGAACTCTAGCTGTCTGTTTGCTATCATACAAGGAAGGTCTGAATGGGAAAAGAAGGGGGAAACTTAGTCTTTCCAGGAACAGGAGTTGGAGAAATAGGTTGTGTATATCTCAGCAATGATCTTAAAGAAAACGTGACTTCCAATATTCATGGGAGTTTTGGTCACAGTAAAAAAGGCTCAGAGGAGGAGTTCCAGTGCATTTTCTCCTGTTGCTGTTAGTGCCCGTGTGTATATTTGTATCATCATTCATGATCTCTTTTTAATGGTAATTGTCTAAGATTATACTCTGTATGACTTTGTTTTCTAGGCTTCGGGAGCAAGTTCTGCTTGAACCTAGCCGACGGTTATGGAACCCGTTGACATTCCAAAACAATATATACACATAACTATGTATTTGTGTGTGTGGGTGTGTGTATATATGTATATGTATGTGTGTATATATATGTATGTATATATACACACACACATAATCAGCCAAAATCAGAAAAAAGGAACAGGGATTTAATACCTTTTTTATGCTTATTTTTCTCAAACATGTACTCCTTTCATACGGGTGGCTTTTACAAGGCAACTTCCGTCATTTAATGTTTTTGATTGTAATTGTCTTAATGGAAATGTTAGATTCATATCTGATTAACATTTTTAATAACTTAGAGGAGATTTTAACTTTAGTTATTTAAATTAGGTGAAATTGTTGTAACAAATTCTTGTCTAAAATTTATTCGGGAATAATTTCCTGATGTGCAGATAACAAGATCTTATTTTACTGAGGCCTAAGTCCCAGCACATCAAGACAAGGCATGTGCTTTCAGATAAATGCAGCATCATTACAGCCCGTCTCCCCCAATCAAAAGCCATGTCATTTTACTTTTAGAAACATGCAAGTGGGCCCATCATGGGAATTTTCTTAGTAGCTCATACATTTGTCAGCCAACATTGAAGAGAAACCAACTTCTCAGGTATTTGTAGTTTACCCTAATGCTTCTATAGAAGAAAGTTGGAAAAAAAGAAAAGGGTAGATAATCTTTCTTATGCAAACCTTTTCCTTGCATTTGTCTTTCTTTTTTGACTTCAGTAGTATCCTCCACACATTTGTGTGCCTGATTTGAACGGAAGCTGGGGCAACCAGCAAATATAGCCTTTAAGTTTCTGTGTATTAATTTGTAGATTAAGTAATATTAAGAGGAATAAAAAGGGAAAAATATGTAGAGCATAGAGCATTGAAAATTCCAGTGCTTGGGCTTCTGCTTCAGAAGAGCATCATTGGCTTAGAGTTAAAACAGCCATTGCATTCAAATGTTTGCTATAAAATCTGAAAACACACTGGCAGGTGCTCCTCTCTTTGGCAATTTATAGACTATCCAGTGTTCTACAATGTTTAACTGAAGAATTGGTTAAGTTTTGATCCTCAAGTGTGAATGTTCTTTATGTTTGGGGATGGGGTTGAGGTTTTTTGTTGTTTCATTTTTTACTCTTGAAGCTTACCAGATATGAATGGCTAATATTCCATTGTTCTGCTTATTGTAATGGTGAATGCTTTAAGGAAAAAAAAGTGTAATTTGCTAAGAATAATTCATGATCTGTTTATGCGATAACTCCTTTTTGTTACAATTTTTTTAAAAAAAGCTATTTTTGTTAATGTAAAGTAAATATTTCAGAGCAGATTTTTTAAACTTATTGCACTAAATACAGGCTCTGTACAAAAAAAAAAAAAAAGAAAGAAAAAAAAGTCTCAGCATTTTATCATTCCATGGAAGGAGAATCTTTTGAAAGAAAGCATTGCCTCCGGCCAGAATTGGACAATGAATTAGACTGGTATTATGGGAAGCATACAGTTAATGTCGCTAGGGCTTAATAAGCAGCTTTTGCCTAATATGCTTCCTTTCAAAGGGTTGGACCTTTAAATTGCTGCAAAAAAGTAAATTGTATTTTTTTTAAGTATTGGTGTTCTTTAGCTACGCTAAAATGTGCTAAATGCCTTGGTTTCTTTTCAAAGCTCGTGTAATATTTCTGATTTTCCAGAATATTTGCAGTAGGAGTCTGGATTAACACACACATGCACGTGCATACAATTAAGAGTTCATGTTTTAGCAAGACATGGAAACCAACATTGTGGGCATAGCTATTTTGAAATAATTCTCCAGAAGTTAACATCTAACATCTAGTTTTGCCAGCATCACTGTACTTTTATATTATTTGAAATGAAATAAATATAATTATGTAACTAACAATTATCCAAATAGGTGAGAGAGCAAATCATGTAAGAATACTGTCTGTTTCATAGCCACACAGATTTTGGACTTTCAGAAACATTGGGAACTAAATTTAGAATTGGCAAAAGCCTGGAAGATGAGTGTCCAGACAGAAGACACTCCACGAGCTAGCTATTTTAGGAGGTGCTCCTCCAAGGGACCTGATGGAAATCTTGAACTTGGAATTTAGATTCTGCTCACTTGGACATCCCCACATCATGGATTCTCGCTGCCCCCTGTTTCATGTGCTCGCAATCTCAGCTATTTGGAAGCCACCAGGAATGCTTTCTAATTATCATTTGCAACTAGAACTGTAATCAGAAAAAAAATTTGTATTTTTGTATAACTTGATTGTGTGCCATTTTATATAACAGGTCCTGTTTTACAAATAAATTTTGTTTTACTAACATTGTGTTTAGAAATTATGATCTATGTGTAACCATGTCATTTGAGTTTCTAATTAATTTCCAAGCTGTTTTCCCTAAGTAAATTTGTGTGCCATAGAGATATATGCAAATATGCATATATATTACACAGGCACATGTAGAGAGATATTTGATATATAGAATATCACTCTCACATAAGCTTGTTCTTGATTAATTTGATACAGCATTATAGAGGCGCTTTAGCTGTGTTTCAGTGCTTGGAGGTGATGTTCAGATCTGCCCGCTGCCTCTTTCATTCATCGCAAGTCATCCCTCAGCTAGTTGTGGCCTGCCTTGCTGCTGCTCACTCGCTGTTTCCATCTTCTGCCCAAGTGAGGAGAATAGATGAAACAAAAATTATCTGTGACATGTGGATACCGGAGTAATCTTATAAACCATTGATTCTGCGTTGTTGGCTTTTGTCTTTCTGTGATGGTTTTTCAAAACTACATTTAGGAGTCCTATCTCTATGGTTATTGTTAGGATCTCCTATTGTACATGGTAGTGATGTCCAGAGTGTCATTGTTTTCTGCCATCAGATAGTTAGGGATTTGGTGCATAACTTACACCTTGTAAATTCCTGCCTCAAAAATAAGCTGTGCTATAAGATGCTATAAAGGGAAAGGGTTAAATTCCAGTATAAATACAGGAGATCTGTCTTCAATCAGAGGCTTAACGTATAATAATAATAAAGCATTAGCAATTTAGCAAGGGCCCTGAGATTGTATAATCTTTATATGGATGAGTAGAAATCAAAACATTTTACTCATTTAAACCATTTAGTGTAATGGTTAACATTTAGGATTAAAGTTTTTATCCTGTCCTACAAGATAATGAAATTCAAAGTCATTGCAGTTTAAGTAGCTTAAACTGTATGCTGACCCCTGAATGTCTTCTGTAAGGGAAGCACTTACTGAATTTCTTTAAAAAATTATACTGTAAGTTTTCCATTATAAAAAAGGTCTTTTACTCCTATTTTTTTTTCTGTCTTTTTTTTTTTGTGAAAGCCGTTAAATACTGATCATAAATTCTTCCCAATACTACTGGCCTTAGTATTTACCAAGAACTCTCCTTTCTTCTTTCCCAGAGGAATTTCAGGATTTCTCTCCAGTAGACAGTGGTAAGGGGCTGACCCTTCATTTTGTCCTGAGCTCCTTAAACCAGAGTGATACTTCTTCTTCCCTCTTGTTCAAAACAGGAGTTGCATGCACCAGATATTTGCAAGGCCACACAATGCTTTTGAGCCTTTAACCATTTCCACTATGCACACTCAGTGGCTATACAGGGTATTTCAAGACATCCCCAGCACATAAGGTAGCATTGTGAGATCATTTGCAAAACCAGAGCCCTGTGCTATGATGAACATATTATTATTTTACTGTTGGCCACTACACTCTCATTTGAATTAGTTTCTATAGTTTTCTTCAAATGGTATTTAAAGTTTCATCTTTCAATATGTAAATTCTCTACTGCTGCTTTGGGGAAAAATTCTTGATGTCTCTTAAGGCTTACCAGTGCACCTGACACAATTAAGTTCTGCATTCTTTTCATGCATTCCATCTGACAGCAGTGCCTGCCTAGAGTTAAGATAAGGTCGGTGAGTATATTGGAGAATTGTGAGCTCGGAAGCAAGTGCACAAGTCCGAGGCCTGTGTATTCTGCACTCATAGCATAGAATGCCTTTTGCTTTTAAGTGCGTGTTTATATAGCATTGTATACTAACGAGTGCATGTCAGTCCTTTTGAAAAGCATGCACCGTTCCTATACAGTGGTTGCTTTTGGAATTTAACTCTGTTTAATGGCGCATAGCCCAAATCTTGAAAAAGCAGAGAAAAATTTTTCGAGAGAAAATCTACAGCTAACAGGTTCCAAAAACGTAAGAACTAAACATGTATATACTTACAAATTTAAAATAACATGCTTTTCAAATTTCATAAATTTGAGCCAAATTCTTGTATTTCATGTTTTAACTTAGGAGGCCAATTTTAATCCAAGATTTAAATCTTTGAAAATATCTTTTTAAAGAAAGCTTAAATGCAGTTTTTAATGTTATGAATTTCTGTGGAAAACCTTTTTTTTCTATAGAAATATCACAGTGCCCTTTCTCTCTCATCTTGATTTTTCTATAATGTAAAATTAAATGATGATTCAGTTTTAATTTTGCATGAACAATTGCCATATTTGTAAATTACATAGACAGGACTTAAATTTGCTGTGTTGTAAGAGAATTCATTAGTAAATTTGTTTAGATGATATGACATTGTTAGGGAACCAAATGTTAAACTATTCTTATGTTTTGATACTTAGCCTTATAGTTGAACTCACTTTTGCCAGACCAGGGAGCTCAGAATAAGAAAGCTTGTACTCATGGCCTAGTCAGGATCTAGCTGAACATGGAAACGTTAATTTACAAATAGTCCAGAAAATTTCCAATTTCATTTGCTATGATCTGAATTAAATACATGATATTTAAAAAGCAGCTTCATCTGAGGGCTCACGGTCCCTTTGAATTTATGAAAGCTGTGGGCTGTCTTTCTCTGAAATGTACCTGGCATGCCTGTGAACTCTTCACATTTTCAGAGGTGAATAGGCTCCCTGAAGATCATCTTAAGATGAAACTTAGCACCTTTGGTCTGGAATCATTTCTATAAAGATTTCTGCATGATTTAGTACTAGGTTTCTAAGTAGAAACTGTACTGAACTGAATAACTGGATGATCAGTGCTGAATCTTTGTAACAGTGAGATTTCTTACCTCGGAGGTTTGAGGTGGTATGGCATTTACCAAATTATTAGCATTTTCATTAGCAATAAAAAAATCCAACAAATAAAGAGTCCTTATTATTAGCATTAACCAGGACACATATTTCTTTTTAGTGTAGCTCAGATAATTACATGTTGCATAGTGCTATCAGTATTTCACTGTGTTAAAATGTCTATCAACCTGACTAAAAACAACTTAAAATGATAACTTGGCAAACACAGTATGTATACTTGACCAAAAACAATGGAAAATTGCAAGAGCAGGTACTAATGACAGAAATTTGAAAGGTGTCTCTCTTCCCAGATAAATTAGGGGAATGTTTTCTGCTTTATGTTCCACTCATCTTCCTTCTGTGGGGAAGCACATGGAGTTCTTCACATGTGCAGCTTACTCTTAGGTGATGGTGCTGCATCTGCCTGGCAGCTCTCTGGGAAAGTTCTCTGGGTCTTTAAAAAAAGCAGGCAGAAACCCTAGAGGAGTTTGAAATTATTTAAGGTTTGATTCCAGTGGGTCACAATTTATATAATCAGACATCAAACCACTATTTTGGCTGAAGGAAAACACTGGAAGTTTCCTACCTGTTTGGTTAAGAAAAGAGAATATTCGGCTTCCAACCCTACCCCCACCCACTCTTTAAAAACTTCTAATAAACCTTCCATAGTTATAGTAAAGAGCCAAAGTTTAGTCTAAATTTGACAGGACATTTAGGGTCTTATCATGGAAATAACTTAAAAGAGAATATCCTGATGCTTGTTTATGAATCTTACCTACTCATCCTTCCAGCTAAAAGTATCTAAGTTTGTTGTTGCTTGAGGAATATGTGTTAACTTATTACTCCATGTGAGTTAAAGTAAGCATTGGAAAGACTTGGGAAATAAAGGGCAGATAGAACAGGTCACAGGGTGCTGCCTATTCTAGAAGTGGGAGAAAGCTCTTCACCTTACCATGCTGACTTCTTAAATATGCGTTGTTAGAAATGTGTCACATAAGAATGTGACTATAATCGAATAGCTTTGGAGACTGGTGATTTGAGGCACTGACTGTTAAGTAGAATTTTCCTGTCATTTGAGTTCCAGTAGTATGGGGCTCAGAACTTCCTTTTTGCTTCTCTTATTTTTACTAATTCTTCAGTAAAATCAGAAATAGTTATGATTTTCAGAGATGATCACATGGGCAAAATGACCTTTTTTCTACTATGTTGCTCTACTGGAGTCTATTGTGTTATTTCCTGATTTCTGCACTCCCATTATAAGGGTGTTGGGAATGCCATATGAGAGAAATTTCAATTTTTCTATCTTAGAACGTTCATGACCAATAAATACACTTTTGGTAGACCTTGCACCTAATAAAGTAAATTCAAGTGGGTTGTTAGCCGATTTGATAATAGCAGGGGAAAGAAAACTTTACAACTAAGAAACAAAAAGGAAAGGAGAAAAGTCTAAAGGACATGTAACAAAATGATGTGTGGCTCTGAGAAAACAACCAAAGACAAAAGCCTATTTTTTTGAAGACCAAAGGTCCAACACTTACCTACTAGCTGGCACAGCCTTTCTGAATTTGATTTGAAGACGTAACTCCTAGAATAAGGTACTTGGGTCTTAAAGACCAGTCAGCATAACAGGAACCTGCTGTTGATCTCTCAGGCACCTATTATCACACCCAGTGTCCAGCCCTGTCTGTTGTACAGGGTGACAGGAACAGAAAATGCCACTGCAGAGAGTCTCCATTGCTCGCTGCCATGTAACCCAGCGTGAGAAGTACATTGTGGTGCCACATATTTGATGCCTTCTTGTCTCTTTTTTTTTTTTTATCTGCATTCTATTTCAGAGTGTCAGATTTTTGTGTCATGTCCTGTCTTTGTCAGTTACAAACTGTAGTACTACAGACCTTCCATGAGTTCCATAATTTGGAATCATTTACCTTAGCATTATTTTGGGTTTTTTTCTTATTACAGTGTCCCTACACTGTATGCGTGTGGGAAAACAAACATGTAGGTGCTTGAACATGCCCCACAGATACAGTTGTAGTTCTAGTATTTGTGACTGTCATTACTGACACAGTACTGACTTGAGAGATGGAGCATTATGCTCTCAGAGGACTTTAAAAATATGTATATTAAGCAATTAACTTTCTGGAGTTATCAAATCTTGCTGGGAAATTAACTTCCAAGAGCTCTGAATTGGATGACATTCCATCTGGTTTCAGAGTACAATGAGCTTACA